TTATTCATACCCCCTGGACCTCCTTGCAGGTGAAAAACTTTTAGCTCCTCACCGGAGACAAACGGCTTAGCTTGTTGCTCGCTGCACAGGGTCCCCTGTTTCTCCATCTACATATATATAAATTTTTTTTTTGCCCCCATCCCTTGACAATTTCTTCCACTTTCTCCCCGCTCTTTGGTGCGGCTTTCATTTCGTTTGCTCTTCATTTTTTCTTGGTTTTTTTTTCAGAGATTCTGCTTCAGCAACAAGTTGCTTACATTTCGTAAGCCGCCAGGCCACCTGTGACTATACCACTATAACCCATTTGGGGGGTGACAGCCGGGGAGAAAGTGCCCGCGGGGACGAGTGAAAGTGGCATAGTGGGGAGGGGGTTTGACGTTTGGCATTGGCGAAAATTGTCGTCGCTTCTGCCCTGCAGATATCCTGGCATATTTATTTATGTGCTCTGCCAGTTCGCTGTTCTCGTCCTGTTCTCGACTTGATTTCATTTCATCTCTGGCTGCCAGCTTTTATTTTTTCCTCTTTTTAATAACAAAGATCTGACTGTTGTTTTCTCGTTTTCGTTATTTTTTGACTGAATTTAGGCATTTTGTTGTATTTCGGCAGATGTTTTTCTCCAAGGGTTTCACATTCACTCCCCCTGTACATATATATCTATATATATATAAGCCATGCCCCGCCCCTCTGGCAAATATTTATCCTCATCCGCGCCAACGTTTGGCTTTAATCTTAAAGATTAGCCAAAAAGGAAAGACGGGTTTTTGTGTTTTAGCACCTTTCTAGGCTTAGACAACCCATTTTCCCCCACTTTCTCCTCCCAGTTCTCAGAAAAAGTTCATTCACTTTTAGGCCTCCCTTTGTTTTTGGTTGAACTTTCTTTGTTTTGATTTCATTGTGGAATAAACTTTTGTCTAGCTGGCACAAACATTTAAATTTCAAATGCTTTAAATGCGTTTCGGATGCCACAAATGGCAAATGGCTGGCGAATGTATCTGAGCCATCACATATGCCAGTGCCCCTACACACAGAGTGTGTTTGTGTGTTTTAAGCTTTTTATATAATTGAAATCCGGACACGTGCCACTCAATGCGTATGCTGGCAATAAATTCAGTTTCACTTGTAATCTATACACACATAATCAGATACACAATTCAGCTCGGGACTCCTCTCCATATGTAAATTCACTTTGTCCATCGAGGTTATGCCCAGGCCTCCGTTTGGGGCCAGGAGACAGGACAATGTCCTCACAGTGTGTAGGCGCCTCCTGGCATATGCTACAATCATAATTACATCGTCCTGGGCAGATAGTCCTGTTTGTAGGTTTATTTTCTTTTTCTTACTGGGTGACAATGCCACTGAGAGAAAGATTTTGTGGCTATGATAGTAATTTTATTTAAGTATCATAACCCTAAAACACTGTATATATAAATAACTTATAAGTTATAACACTAACCAGTGTAAATAAGTGGTGTAAGTAACTAACGACTTATAGTTACTATTATAATTAAAAACAAACATTTTCTCAGTGTAGTATCTTTTGCAATGCCTAGTAGGTCGCCAGTTGCATAACGAAGCGACAAAACTCATTTTAAACAGGCGCCACTCGACGACTGTGGGGCGCCACAGAAATTGCTCCATCGTTCCGCTCCAGAAGCCTCCGCCCCCGATCCCTAAGCCACTTCCACATCCAGATTCAGCCTCAGATCCCTGGCCAAGTCAATGTGCGGATGATGAGCCCAGTACGGTTACCAACAAGTTCATTAAATACAATGCACAGAGTGGCCAAGGACGATGACGTCCTGGCTGTATACAAGGATAACCTTCGAGGGAAACCGATTACGGGGAGGTGAAAGATAACACCCCTGAGAGTGGGTGGCAATAGGGGATACATAGAAGCTGCGGGATGCTTAGCAAATTGAAATCTTTTATGGAAGGATAATTATTGGCGAGTGCAATACTTTGCTACTAAATTGAAAATGTTTGCCAACTGAGCAACAGGGAAACTTTTATATTAATTAAAGAACCATTATAGATTTTTTGCTGGCATTGATTAACCTTTAAAGACTGTCACGTTGTAGTTCATTTAAATGAAAAGTCCCTGAAATGTACATGGCAACTGCTATTTTTTACTAAAATCAATTGTTTTTCCCTTAAAAAACGTTAATTTTTGTGGTTTTTATAAAAGTTGTTTCTACAAAAAAAACTGTAGAGTATCAAAGCTTAATTACCATATTGTATATCATATGAAAAAACCTTCATTATACAATAAATAAAATCACATACTTTTTTGCGGCTTTATTAGATTCATAAACCATGAAAAAATAACCGCAAAAAATAGAAAATAGTCCTGATGCCATGATAAGTGCCGACAACTTTATGGCTTCACACATCCTGTGACCTAAAAATAAAAACCTCCAAGGAGCAACAATGTTTGGAGGCCGCTTTAATGGGTCAATTAGCTGCTTCACATATAGTTTTGACGATTGCGTGACCCGGGAATATCTACTCCTTTGAAGCTAGATTCTACCAGTTAATTGTCGTAAATATTGTTTTAATCTAGGTCACATCCAGGAAACCGGTAAGCCATTTCAGTGGAACTAATTATTAAAAAAAGTAAAAGGAAAACGTAACATAAACAGAGTTTGGGGCAAAAGTAAAAACTCATTTTATAATGTTTACCTTTGCTTGACCGGCACAAAATCCGGCACCCTGACCACCCACGGACACATAAGCATATACAGTTAATTTATTTATTTTGTGTGCAAGCTTTTATTTGCATAAGCTTAAAGGATTTGAGACGGCGAGCTTAGATTTACCTCAGTCTGCATTTGTTTTATGGCTGGTCCCCTCCCCTGACAACCCAAAGTCCTTTGAAAGCTCCAAGCTTGACCCCAAAGTGGGTGGTAAGAGTCCCCCAACGAGAAAGCTCCAAAAGCTGGCAAAGCTTGAACATCCTTGGAGCTTGTAGCATCAAGCTTTCTTGAATCCTGTACTAAAAAAGGACTCTGCTTTCTACATGGCTCAAAATTCAAAACTATTTGTGTAAAATATTCAAATTAAACACTTGAGACCACAACCGTTGCACTACAGGGATTCCAAGGACTCGATTCTTTCACTCGGCGACAGACTGTCTAGACAGAAATTCTTAAAACCAACACCTGACAAATTTCTCTTTGGCACTCCCAGGTAGGCGTACTAAATTTCAACGGAATTTCATTTGTTCTAGCCGGAATCGTTGGGCTAATGATCTTCTAACAGGACCCAAGGGCCTGAGGGAATTTCCCAGCCTTGATGCCAGCCAGCCGGGCAGTGCAACGCATTCATTCATAAGATCAATTCAAGAAATCAAAAGAGAAAAGAGATTCCACTTTAAACTGAAGAGGTTCTGCACTTGAGGCTGTATTCATTCATGAAGTGTCTGCTAGGCGGGAGACCAACACAGCAAGGATTCTACAAATCAGCGGGATATTCGAAAGTTGCCAGGACATCTGGTGACTCGAAAAAAGTAACACCAGGAGAGAAGGTGTATGCAAATTTGTTGTGGGATGACATTTTGAAATTCTTAATGTTTTTAGATATTAGAGGTATATTATAATAATATATAGGAGACTACTTAAAATCATAGCTTAAGACGTTGTAGTTCTTCCACAATAACATTAAGGATTTAGTAAGTTAATTTAGAAATACATCTTTTTGTTTTTAGTAGTAAGTAAACTCTTTAGTAAGTAAAGAGCACCTATTGTAGTAGATCTCTTGAGTAACTATCCTCTTCAGTAACTTTAAATGTTATCAGTACATTCGGAAAAAATCAAATAAATTCAAGGATCAAAGATCAGATCAAAGAACCCTATGCAACACATTTTGGCAAAACAATTTTCGATACGCTCCTTGAATGAATTCGCAAAAAAAAAAAAGCGAAAAGATCCTGAAAGGAGTCAAGAGGAGTCCTACCTGCTGGTGCGGCACTTGAGACTCAAGTACAAGAGCTCTTCAACTCAAGTGGAAAGAGGCGCACACTTGAGCCAAAGGACACCTTAGGGGAACTCCAGTAGATAACGATCGGGGCCAAAAAGGTAGAATCAGGTAGGAGTACAATTTTTTTTCAGGAATAGCAAAGAGAATGGAATACCGAAATTCTGTTTAAAACCGCCGACTGGGCTATTTTGGCCATTCGCATACCGATTTCGGACCCCGAGGGCCCAAAAGGGCGTAGGTGCAATTGCGTTTATTAGCACCGCACCCCTTGGGATCCTGCACAATGTCCTGCATTCAATATCCCTGTTCGGTTCGGATTCCTGAGGACATACCAGTCCCATTGAGGAATTGTCCGACGTTGAATGAATGCTGAATGAGTCGGCTCGGGCTGGGCAGGTTTTGTTGCGCCTGATTCGTTTTGGGTTTGTCACCAAAGGACCAAAGTCTAAGCGATCCTGCCGATATCTTGTCGTATGATAAGTATCTCTAAAGTTGCGATCATTAATTTGTGCAATTTGAAATGTCGTGGGAATGCTAAAAAAATCCTCAACACTCCACGGCAAATTGTGTCCTTGATTAATTGGATTTTTCCATGATTTGACAAAATCCTTTCGTGTCAAGGTATGCGGTTAAAAATTAGAGGACCACACAAATTTGTTCAAGGAGCACATTTGTCTAGCGAAGCAAATTGAGTTACGAAGCAAAATGGAACTTTATAATAAAACATACTATTTAATAATTTCAAAAATCATTCTAAATCATTTTTGTATATTGTACAAAACCCAATCCCGTTAGTAAGCAACCAAACTCTACCATACCCATCGGCACATCCTAACAGCCATCCTATTTAGCAGGACACTCACTAAGCCCTTCTAACAATTATCCTATGACAGATTTGGGAACAAGATTCCCCCAAAAAGACAAGTCCTTCCCGAATAATTTGTCAAGCCTGTCGACTTAACGGCTTAGCAGAAACTAACTCAATTTCTGTACATTTTTGCCAAAAAAAAACACCCAGAGAAGCATAAATGTTGAAAAGTGTGAAAAATTTAATCTGACAAATTTCCGGTTCGATATTTTTTGATGGCTAGATGCAATGCATAAGTTCCGAACATTATTTTCTGGATGAGTGGATTAAAGGCCAACAATCGAACTCGAAACAAATATGGATATGTATGTTAAACAATTTTCTCCAGCTCATGGGCGTAGGTTAGATTTTGAGTGGCTATATCCCGGGCTGAGACATTTTCCACCGGCTTGGTGTGGAGTCCGGCGTAGTCGTAGTTCCCCTCGTCATCCAAGGCCCAATGGCGTTTCTTGACCAGATCGGTGAACTCCTTGCTAGTTGGACGAAGACCCAAGCGTAGAGCCGCCTGCTTGGGATCTATCTTCAGGTATGACTTCTCCATGCAGGAAGCGATCTCCTCACGTGCCGTATTCACCAGGATGTCCATGAAGTTGGTGTATATCTCCGACGGCAGGGACTTCTTGGCCTGCAGTATCTTGTTGTATCTGCCCTCCATGTAGTAGTTCTCCAGGGCCAAGACGGGCATAATGAAAGCATTGTGCAGCAGAAGAGCCGACGGCAACCGCTCCAGTTCAATGTGAAAGTCGGCAATGCGATTCGTGGCCAGCATGTAGAGCAAATTCAATCCCATGAACTTGTGCATGTGCTTCGAAGAGTCCAGGAACTTGTCGTAGTCGTAGTAGTAGGTATTCAACTGCGACATGTACCGCTCGAAAGCTGCATAGTCCTTGATCGTGATGCTGTGCTCAACAGCAATCTCCAGCATTTCCCGGGACCGCATCAACTGATCCTTTTGCTTGGAACTCGACGCCGGGTGGGGTGTTCCAAAGTCGGATTTTACCAGTTCCAGCTTGAATCCGTCCAGTAAACGGGCGCAGTGGGTCAGATTCGGTGCGTGTTTGCTCCATTCGGCCTTCAGTTCGTTGTACAAGCTAGCCATGGTTCCAGGTTACTAACAAATAGGACTTACACTGGAGACTTGAATTTCAGTAATACAATTTTGTTCGTTTTGACAGTGAAATGAGATGCAAAGCAAAGTTAGCTGCGATTGAAAGTTTCTTGGGAATAGTGCTGGAAAGGTAGCTTTAGAATTTGTGTTCTAGATGTTTCTAACACTGTAAACGGCAGTCCACGTAGGTGACGAAACCCTCAATTTTAATTTCAATTTTCAAAAAATTAAAAACAATTAAAAATGTTCTTTTAAGATTGATTTATTTTAACATATTTAAGGCTACCAACAAATTAAGTTCTACTGTACAATTGTGACCTCCAAAGGAGACTCGTCCTATGCCTCGACCTTCAGTTCATGGACCTTGGCTTGGGGTGAGGCCTGGGGGCTGGAGCTGGAGTTGGTGGACAGGTTGAATGTGGGACTCTCGGAGCCGCCCTTCTTCTGCTTAACTCGTCGGTTTTGGAACCAAATCTTGACCTGCTTCTCGGAGAGCCGCAGGCGGTTGGCAATCTCGATGCGACGTAGTCGGGAAAGATAGGCGTTCTGGGAGAACTCCCGTTCCAGTTCCAAGAGCTGGGTGCTGGTGAAGGCAGTGCGGATCCTCTTGCTGGAGTCGGCATAGTCGTTAATCAAAGGAGTGATCTCCGTGGGCAGAGCAGAGCCCTGTACTTTCAAGGGTGAGCTGTTGGGCGAGCAGGAGGACTCGTGCTTAAATCTCTTGCCTTGGGGCTCATCGAAGTTGTTGGTGTAATCCAGAGACGCCGAAGAGGAAGCCGACGGAGAAGTGCAGAAGCTGCCGGGCTCCGGCAGAGGCAAGCCCGATCCATAGATGCCATGAAGAGGTATCTGCTGGGAGCTGGCATTTGCAGGATTCGCCGACAAAGGAGGCGACGGATAACAGCTCTCGTAGTTGGCGAAGCCATTGGATTTCCTTTTGGTGGCAAACAGTTGGGCATATGGATGATACAATGAAGTGGGACTGGAGCTGGCCTGGGGATGTTGCAAGGCAGCTGCCGCCGCTGCTGCTGCTGCTGCGGCCGCTGCAGCCTGTTGTTGTTGCTGCTGCTGTTGCTGGATGCCCAGGGAGAAGAGGTAACTGCCCACATAGCTGGCCGGATAAGGCAACATCGGTATTGAAGGCAACATGGCAGCTGCGGCCACTGCGGCAGCCGTCGAGGATCCTCCGCTGGGTGATCCCAGGGTCTCTTTTTTGGGTCCATCGCTGAGAAGGGAATCCATCAGGAATGAGCGAGACATTTTTCGATTTGGAAGTATATGTTTTTTTGAGCTGTCAAGACTACTGAACACGATCGCTGACTGTGCGAGACTGTCTGTGATGCTGGCTGCTCAGCCTGCTCTTATATACTCCCAGACTTAGACTTTACACCAGGGGTTGATTCTACCCTCGACACACACACACAGGCACACACCCCTGAGGGCCAATTCGAGGGTTGTTTGCCTCGAGTCTCTTCGGCCATTTAGTCACCATTTAGCTGCAACTGTTGCCATTTACGCTCCGCCCTTGTTCGATCACCAACAATGGCAGGTATGCGGTGCTTCACTGTATCTGGTATCCTTGTGCCATGAACAATGGCGTATCCTTCCTATGTGTGAGTAAGTGCGTGTGTGTGTCTGATGGCATAACGAATCGTCCTTTTTATTTCGTATTATCGCTCGAGTTTAATTGAAACTTGAAGTGAGCTCGTAAAAGCTTTTTAAACGAAACTAAATTAGTTCAGCATAAGCTAGATCAAATTACTTAATGAAAATGCAAATACATGTATGGCATTTGGCTAAAGAAGTTAAAACTTTAAAGTTCTTCAGGCCTTTAAGGAACATCGCTTCAAGGGTTATCATTTTTGTTATGTTATTTCATTTTAATATTTTTAAATATTTAGTATACCTTATAAATTTAAACAAGGAGGAACATCTATATATACATATATTTTTTTCCAAACTTATTTGTTGATGAACTTTTTTTTTGCGGCATATGTTCAAAAAATAGTGTACTTGAACTACATACATGGTTCAAAAGATCACCATTATCGCATAGACTTTCAACTTTTTCAGAAACTCCCTCGAAAGATCATCTCCGAAACAAACAATTGCATTTTTACCATCTTAGCCTTGTAATTTATGAAATTAGAAGAAAAACCTCTTCAATAACCTTCCACAATCCAATCGATTAATTTTACAACCATTGAAAAATGCAAGCCCTCCAACCGTTTAATGCCAATTTCATGGCAACTTATGGTCCAAGTGGTCGCTGCCAATGTTTCGATTCTACCTCTACAAGGACATTATTCTTGAACTCCACCTCCAGCTCCTGATTTCGATTTCGATCCTTGTGGCACATTGTAAACCGTTTCTCCTTTTAGGCCTCGTCTTGGCGTAATTTTATTGATGTATTCTTCGGCTTGTGCAACTTCGGGGAACAATGCCGGCAGGATCATCCATTCAGAACCCGGCCCATTCATGGATGCAGTCCTTTAACAAATCCTCGGCACGACACGCACGTTAGTCCCTTTCTTGTTTGTTGTTATTCTGTACGTCTGTGTGTATTTTGGGCCAGGCCAGGACATTGAAGCCAGACAGATCGTCGCCGTGGATGCCCTTTGCTGTTTTTGGGTTACATTACACAGAATTATGGCGGCAGTTTTATCATTTGTTAACTGACTTTAAGGATTTACCTATAATTGTCCTTTTCATGGCATTGTTTGTAGGTGCGGCATTGTCACAGGACTCCCAGTTCTGGCAGTTGATCATATGTTAAGTGGCTGTAAAACGGATCACAATTGCTGACGTTAATTGTTGGCCCGAATTTTTCTTCGTAGGCGATCCAAATTGTCGCCTACTTTTTAACATTTTGGCTTCTGCTTAATTGGCGGGACGTGCAAAAAAAAATATAATAAAATAGAAAAAAGGATCGAAAAGGATCAGGGCTCTGGTCAATATTGCAGAATTCGAGAGCATCTGCTGTTGGCAGAAGTTCTTGCACTTTGGGCGTTGCGTTGGTCTCGTGCGAGGTCCTTTTGACCGGCTTTTCACCAATTGTTTAGTCCTCGATGGGCCACTTGAGATTTTCGCCATTGACCACTTCCGTTTTTTGTTTATTTCACGGACGATTGAGTCGGGTTTTCTTTTTTTTCCTTTTCAAAATTAGATCGTGCTATTTGCTTGGAGTTTTTATTTGATTTTTCTGAGAAACAAATGGTTTTTATTTGTGGATATTCTTCTGGGTTCAAGGAAGTGTAAGATAAGATCTAAGTCATTCAAAATTCTATAGTCCTGTTTGTAGATTTATTTTAAAAACAAATTATTTAAATATTTAAAAAAAAAATTCGGAAGATCCCTAGTTCCCATAGATACAAAAGTAAAGCCCAAAAATTTAAATACAATGTCTTCAAATACGCCCTGATATCATCAAACCCATTCAAGCAAGCAATTTCATTTTAATTGTGAACAAAACTTGCCTAAACGCTGAACAAATGAAAGCATAACGAAATGCTTATTTCCCTTTTTTTATATCTGATATGGATACAACGCAAAACTAACCGATTGTGAGCCCGGAAGGGAGAACTTCAAACCGGATTTGTCCATCAAAAGGGGTGTGTTCTCCACAATGAGAGAAAAATAATCATACGAATATCAAACCACCACCTTTAAAACCATTTGAAGCCCCTATGGCCAGGGATTGGGTTAATCATTTATTGACATTAATTGGTTGTGACATTTGCATTTTGACTGATTGTTATAAGTTGGCCATTGTTGCTACTTAGCCGAGGGTTTGTTTATCCACTCTTCACTCTGCTTTGTATATTTGTTTATTTAACAAATATGACTTCATTATAGTCCAAGCAGTTTTATATGAATATGCACATCCCTGGGACTCTGAAAAATATTAACCCCTGAATAATTTACGAATGAGCTTTGAGGTTGAGTTTGGCTTCTTTGCGTGTTACTGAGTCAATAGGCCTCAGGAGAGTCCCAAGGATACTTGATACAGGATGTGGTATGTCCCGTTTTAATGGTTAGGAAATTATACTTAATTATACATTCGAATGGAGAATATTTTTTAATATGCTAGAGTATTCATTCAAGGTTTAAAAATGTTTAAGGATAATGACCGATGGACATACTTCACCAAATTCTATAAAATATGTGACACAAGAGAAAGTTACCTTCTTTATTCATGTATACTTTTTTACCAACTATAGAATACAAATATCAAAGTACTTCACCGCCGTATATCCCAAAATATAAATCAAAACAATGGAAACTTTTTCATTCTATTTTTTTCGAGTATTATTTTCATGAATGAAAAGTCAGTACCTGGACAAAGGACACCCAACAAAGGACACACACAGGATCCGCACTTGCAGTGATCTGCAGTTTTGTTTTGGACCTTTGTCCCGAAGGATTCTCTTGCAGGTAAGGCCAAAAATATATCTTTAAAAAATGGTATTAGGTACAATACCCACCATTTAAATGGAGGTTTATAGTTCTCTTTTTTAGCTGTGGTCAAGGACACTAGACAGTGCCATTAATCAGCCAGGATACCTCAATGACCTTGTTTATTGTAGTGGTCAATATTGTGGCCAGTTTGAAGGGCCTGTTCTGGGTGCGGACAGTGGGACAAGGAGAGAGGGTGGCCACCCCATGGGAGCAAAGCCAAAAAACACTTAAACACTTAACGTCTAATCAAATTATATATAATAAGCAACAAACAAAACAAACCCAGAAACGCTTAGCACCCCTAGAGCCCGCCACTTACCCCGCTGTCAGTGCCCAAAGCCAGTTAGTTAATAAAAACAGCATTTACAATCATAAAACGCTTCAATGATCCTGAATTTCTCCCCCTATTCCCAGTTTTTTTTTCCAGCACGCGTTGGGTAAGGTCACCAGCCATGGAAACGCGGTAGGATTGAAAAATCTGAACAACCCTCAGATTCCTAGCGTGGAGGGGGCTATCAAATTCATAATGAAACAGATTCTGATACGGCTTCGAGATATCACCCGGCCATCCACTTCGGCTTTGGCTGCAGCCGTCACACAGCCACCAGGATACTTTTGTATCCTTGTATCTTTGTGGTTGCCAATGATTCTTTTGATATCTAACGCTTTTCAAAATGGCTGCTTAAGAGCCCAGAAAATTTTTTTTTATTTAAACAAAACTTATTCATATAGAAACACATATATGAAAACTTATTTTAAAATATATTATTGTAGATAATTGATCTACAACTTTTTTAAGGTATTCCGCTCAAGAATCGGATGATTACTGCCAAAAATATAGACTTGCCCACGGGCTCCATGAATTTTGTAAACTTTCGAAGGGTACCTTCCATAAAATTTGACAAGAAATCTAAAAAAATTAATCTTTAATATTTTGATACAGATTAATGGAAAATCGATCCTCAATTCGTTTATGATATTTCGCTCAAGAATCGGACGGTTATTCCCAAAGATTTAGTCCTCGCTTGGGGCCATATAGTGGCTACATGCATTTTTGTAACTTTGGCATGGAGGATCCATAAAATTCCACAAAAATTGTAAAAAAAAACATTATTTTCTTATATTTTGTTTCAGATTTATGGAGAATCTATCTACTAATCGTTTAAGGTATTCCGCTCGAGAACCGGATAACCATCAAAGATACAGCCACTGTGTACAGCCGTACACAGTATGACAGTGATTTGGAACTTTTGAAGAGACCTAGTAGGAACTGTTTATAAGGTCGAATATAGTACAAAACCGATAGCGATATTAGTTATATATCGGATGTATTTTTATTTCAAAGTGCTTTTACAAAATGGTTTTTGGAAAATTAGTTCTAACGTGACCCAATTTCTCTAAGAATGTGGTTATCCTAGTCCTTGGATCATTTCCTACTTCTCTTGCGCTGATTTCGCTTCTGCCGCCTTAAAACCCTCTCGTACTTTTTTTTCACAATCGAAATGACGCTCTTTGAGAGAAGGTCGTCCCTTGAACAAAACAATCGCTGAATATCCGTCATCTCGAAGCCCATGTAAAGAGCGAACAACTCCTAAGCCAGTAAAATAAAGGACGCCGAGTTATCCTGAATTAGCTTGACCAGCCCGTCTCGTTCCCCAGGCCCATGATGCCATGCCATGTCAACGAGGTAATGAATAATTATGCTGAGGGGAACCAAGCTATGACCAACAGGACTTGGACCGTTATGCAGAGGGTCAGGAATTGCATAATCTTCTTCCGAACATCGCCGCAATATGGATTGTAATCCAAACGTTGGCTATTGATTTTCTTGAAAGCCATCAAGGTGAGATATATAAACACAGTCGACTCCTTGGTGGCCTCGATGGGATTGTAGAAGATGGCAAAAAATGGAAATGATTAATTCAAAGGCATAGGCTTTCTCCATGTTGTCCAACTACAAAAAATTCTATTATAACACTTATAATAGAATAATAATAGGCCTATGCCTTTGCAAATCATTTAAAAGCTAGCTAAAATTTTTAGCACAACTGAGCATGTGGAGCTCTTTTTAAAAATGGAGTTGTGTTTGTGGCGATTTGCTTTAAATTATTTTCATGGCCTACGTTTTTTATGATTTTAAGGTCGATAAGGCGTTCCGGAGCAATAGTGTGCACTTCCATTTCGCTTATTCCTTTCTGTTACACACTTTTACTCCGGAACGCTAGTATAATTGCACTGACTTCTTTTGGAAAAATCGTTATAACTTCAACAATACTTATAATTTTGTAATGAAATTGGTCTTGTTTTATTCAGGATTAATGAGACAGTATTGATATGTCTCATTAATAATATCGAAAATGATACCATTTTTTGGAAGTTGTACCGAAAAAATGGCTTCAAAGTCCGAAAAAAAAGACAAAAATTCAAAAATGTCAGTTTCTTGTGTAAAAATTGTATCCTTTTTGTTTTAATTAATTTAAGATCTTTTTTTTCAAAAGCTACAACATTTAACTTTAAAAAAAACGTCAAAAAGTTTAAAATCCGTTTTTTCTAAATAAATCAATTTGATGGTGATAGAAATATTTCAAACACGGTTTTGTATTATATTCGACCTGATAAACAATTCCTACTAGGTCTCTTCAAAAGTTCCTCCAATTTTTTTTTTTTTGTCACACTGTGTTATTTATATAAAATATTTATATTTTGTAACACTCATAATTTGGAAGGGGAGTCCCCTGTAATCACTGGGATCTTATTGTTATTTACCGAGCACAAAATGAATTTTTACACAAGTCCTCAGTATTTTTTATACATGTAGACGACATGTAAAAACCAAAGTTCCCAAAGCGAACCGTGTAGATACTTGAAATAGCGGCGCCACTGTAACGTAAAACTCACCAAATATCAAAATTAATAATATTAATATTAACTAAATAAATAAAATCATTCTTAAAATATATTAAAAAAAATTATGGCCGCAGAGAATAAAAAAACAGAAATTTATATTTTCATGAATTTACTTTATAAATTGCAGCAGAATATGAAAAAAAAACATGTAAAATAAATGTCTGATAAAATTGCAGCACTCTATTTTTGGCTTCGAACTCATTCAACCCACAATATTCCGCCCAGTTGAAGTATGACTGGATCTGGCAGTGTCAGTTTGGCATTTGTGGCACCACGGGACTCTTGTCACAGCCTGGAACAGTGACAGCAAAACCCGAGACACTGCGTCATTCACGTACCTTCATCTGCAGCTTTCTCATGATTCGTGTCTCCTCCCAGCGATCCAGTTCGTCCCACTCCTTGCCCCGCCTACGCAGTAGGTAGTAACGGTACATGACGATTGTCACGGCCAGGAGCAGGGCCAGGCCAGTGCCGGCGGCAGCTCCAAGGACCGCTGAACTAACCATCACCATTTTGGACAGTTTTTTCTGGTTACTTCACTGAAAATAAATGACATTTTGGCAAACATTATTAAAGGTGTTTTTAGTTAGATTAAAGAAATAAAACTCATTTGGTCTAAAATTTTAACAATTTTTATTGGCAATTTTAAAGAGCAAATCGAAAGGTTTTTCGCTTGTAAGGTTTACTTTGACTTCGCTGGCAGTTTAAACTCTCCAAACTTTCTGAACTTTCGCAAGAGTCAATGATCTCGTTGGACCCATGGTTCTCGTAATTCTCGATCTCCACATCGAAGCGATCTTCTCGATTTCGCGATTTACCAGAAGAACTGGCCATACCAATCAGGGCCAAAACCAATAAAAGACCGACTAGGAATGATACTCCCAATCGTGAACGCATTTTGTGAAAATAAAATAGAAAACTATTCAAATGAGTGGTTTAAAGCACACTGGTATTTTTTAAGAGAATTACAAAAAGACAAGTACAGATACCCCAGTTTCCTGGTGTTTCAACTTTTGTCTTGAGTCACAACTGTTCAAACTTATCCGACGTCGGAATTTCCCCATCTGATGAAATAGACTCACTTTATCTTTAAGTACACGTAATATTTTATTTTGTGACTAATGGCACTAATAGATCTTGTTCATGTGATGTACATAGCCGTTTCGAAGGATAGCGAATCTAGGATATGGCTTAAAGTCCGGTTCCTGATAAGGATATTTGAGAAACATGGTGGGAATATGTTCTGTGGGTGCATCCAGAGTAGCTTCATCTACCTCCTCATCGACTTCCTCTTCAAAAAACTCTCCCTCTTCAGGATTTAGTTTAGAAGGATCGTGTTCATCCTCCGAAGTTGGGTCTAGACTTTCTTCATCAGTAGTTGGGTCTTTAGTTTCATCATCATCTGTATCCTTGAGAGTTGGACTTGAGCTGAGATAAGTTGCGTTGTTATGCAATGTTTCATTTGCCATTTTCTCTAGAAACTTTAGCTCCTTCAATATTCTATCAATTTCAGTTCTATTCAAATGGCTTAATTTCCCGGTTTTCTGTGAGTCCTTAAGTGGCTTCGAAGACATTAAGACAATGCCCCAGCATAATATCAGAGTGACTATTCTCCAAGAACACATTTCTTCAACGTTCTGACAAAAACTGTTAGAAGCAACATTAAAAACAAGTCTTATAACCAAATGTTGACTTTAAAATGTCTTTATTTGAAGAAGAGAAATTGTTTTAGATTTTAGAAAGAAGTTAGAATCTTAGGCCTTTAGGAGCAGACCGCCACGGTGGATCACAACAGGACCGTGACCTCCAAATTTGGGCCAGAAGGGACGAATCTGCTTCGTGGGAGTAGTGGAATTGGATGCTTCCTCCTTTGTTGACGAATCACTCTCATCCTCATCGGCATCTGTGGAATCACTATCCTCATCCTCGTGATCACTGGATTCCTCATCGTCAGAAGCTGTCTCGGTGGCATCACTTTCGGAGGAAGACTCCTCAGGCTCACTCTCCACCACATCGGAGGACACCTCATCCTCAGCCGGACGGGCAGACACAAAGCCAATGGCCAGGAAAGCCAAAAGAGCCACAAGAATGATGGAACGCATTTTGAACTTGAGTCGGAGAAGTTTAAACGAAAACTACTTTCCAATTTCATTCGACCTCTTGCTATTTATAGGAAAAGTCTAGCAAAATTTGGCCAAATCGTTGAATTTACCAAAATCTTTATTTACGCTTCTGCTGTTTGAACAATTGTTTCAATGGAAAGTTTTACAAGCGGTTAGAGTTAGGGCTTTTGTTTGAATTTAATGCTGTGTTAAGGGGGTATTCCAAGTTCAACCATTATTCGGTGGTCAGATCATGGGGATGTATAATTACGGGTCCGATTCCCCACCACTTGGGCCATGGACGGGGACTTATCACCACAGAGTCACCAGGCTCTCCGCTATCAGTCGAACTGTTCTCATCACTATCCTCGGACGGACGTGAAGTCACAAACGAAATGGCCAGACAAGCTACCAGAGCCAGGATAATTAAGAAGCGCATCTTTAGGAACTTTTTCAAAACAGACACTGCCACCGATCTCAAAAAGTAAATGCTTTTTATAGAAAAATTGTAAGTATATAAAAGTCTCAGCTGCAAGCTGTTTAATCTTTGCATTCAGATATATATGGAAACAAATAAAATGTAATTGTACTTATTGTAACTGAAATTCCGGCTCCTGACAGTGAACCTGAATATTTACTAGGTTTAAATAAATATTTGTAAACGATGCGGTAATCAATCAATCAATATTTAATTAATCAGCGGGAGTAGGGCATTAAGAGCATTTATATAGGTTTATATCTTTAAATCGTTACTTTTTTAATAAAAATGTTATTAAAGAAGTTTCTTTAAATTTAAAAACTTAAAACTTGCTTGTTGATATATTTTGTGTTTTTTTATTTACTCAACAAATTAGCATACAAATTTAAAAAAATAAAACTACCATCTGGCATATGCAATATTTTTATTTACATAAACCCAATTTCAAACAAAAGCTCTTGGATACACTTTTGTTTTTGTTTAATTAATATTCTTATTGGAAAATAAAAACTATTTGAATTTTTCTAGAAATGCCAGTTAGTTGAAAAGCACTTTCTGAATTTTATTCAATGCAAAACAATTAATAATAAATGTTTGAAATATATTAATGGGCCTTGATGAAATACAGAGGCCTGGCATGGATCACAAATGGTCCATTTCCGATGAACTTGAATGGACGACGGCGCCTGGGATTCTTCTGTTTGTTTCCTGACTCGTTGCTGTTCTCACCATCGGATGCATTGTCTCCACTGTTTTCTCCCTCAGAGTCTCCGCTGGATTCTCCCTCAGATTCACCAGTTTCTCCTTCTGATGTATTATCATCACTGGACTCGCCCTCGGACTCACTGTCGCCCTCGGATCCACTAGAGTCTCCCTCAGCAGCATTGTCACCGCTAGACTCGCCTGCGGATGCGCTGTCACCATTATCCGATCCCTCGGATTCACTGTCTCCATTTGCTTCTCCTTCTGATGCATCTCCACTGGACTCTCCCTCGGATGCACTGTCATCACTGGACTCTCCCTCGGATGCACTGTCACCGTTGGATTCTCCCTCGGATTCACTGTCACCATTATCCGATCCCTCGGATTCACTGTCTCCATTGGCTTCTCCTTCTGATGCACCTCCACTGGACTCTCCCTCGGTTTGACCATCTCCATTGGACTCTCCGTCAGATTCATTGTCGCCACTGGACTCCCCCTCGGTTTGTCCATCTCCACTACCTTCACCTTCTGAAGCATTGTCGTCGCTGGACTCTGCATCAGTATCTCCTCCTGTGGCATCTACATTGCTGCTATCAGTGTCATCATTTCCTGACACGGAATCGTCGCCAGATTGGACCACCGAGGACTCATCATCCTCAGCTGGACGAGCAGCCACAAAGCTGACAGCCAAGAAGGCCAACAAAGCTATCAAAACAGACACTGCCACCGATCTCAAAAAGTAAATGCTTTTTATAGAAAAATTGTAAGTATATAAAAGTCTCAGCTGCAAGCTGTTTAATCTTTGCATTCAGATATATATGGAAACAAATAAAATGTAATTGTACTTATTGTAACTGAAATTCCGGCTCCTCCGGGACCACCGAGGACTCATCATCCTCAGCTGGACGAGCAGCCACAAAGCTGACAGCCAAGAAGGCCAACAAAGCTATAACCATTAAGGAACGCATTTTAAGGCTTTTTCAATAAAAAATTCAAAACAAAACTGCTTTCAAATTTTATTACCCATGGCCTTTTTATATCCAAAAAATATACCAAATTTTGGCAAAATATTTATATATTATAGGAGATGGCATTTACGCCATTTGATATTTGCGCAAATGTTTCAACCGGAGGGAGGATCGTTTAATTTAATGACGTATTATTATTGTCCATTGGGATTTTTTCAACTCATTGAAGCTCTACGGCTTATAAATATTATTAAAATTGTATATATACGTCTTAAGACTTTATATTTTTGTTATCATTATATCTCTACGTCATGGTTTTTCAAGAAAATTTGGTGGGTGATCTAAAACGCATTTAAAATAAATGACTAATGCGATTAAATATTTGTGTATTTGATATATTTGTGTATTTAACATGTGTATTTGAGACACATGTTCGTTCAAAAATGAAAGAACAATATTTGAAAATATTTTTTATTGTTAAATAAAAAAATAAATGTTTGGCCCATCATTAAATTAAAGAATAAAAAATTTGTTGAATACCCAGACGCTTTTTAATTAAAAGCGATGGATTAATTTTAAAAAATATATTTATTCTTAAAATGACCTTCCATTTCCTGTCTGCAGATAATTATACTTCATTTTGCGGAAGTCCAACCCAAAGCCTTATCGAAAACACAAAAGTTTCTTGATTATGACTAACATAACAACAAAGAACTTGATATGAGTTGTTATCTAGCACAAGCCTTTAAGATAATGCTTTTCATTAAATATTATAGAGCATGACAAGTGGGAGATGTAAAAATATCAAATCAACTTTTGAGATTCTTAACAAATAATATTATTTTAAAAATAGACCTAGAATTTTGAGTTTTGTTTCGATTAGAGATGTCAATAATATGTGACATTATAGTTGCTAAAAATATAAAATCACACAAACTATTATAAGACTATAATAGCTATAATAACTATAATTAACTATTCCATGTGTCCATTTTCCTTAGTACTTATTACTAAAAATAAACAGCCATATCTTTTTTTTGCTATTGTATATATTCCATCTATTATATTTGGTTTGTTATTAACGAAAAAAAGTGCATAATAAATTGATAATAAAAAGTTTGGGCATTATGGCTTAACGCCTCATCCAGGGATGAACAACTGGTCCGTGACCTCCATGGATGGGCCAGCGGGTACGGAAGTTCCTCTGCGCTTCGGGGGCAACCTCCTCAGCGTTCTCAGCAATGGGCTGGATCTTTTCCGGGGCTTCAGCGAAAGGTTGGATCTTCTCAGGAGTCTCGGCAATGGGCTGGATCTTCTCAGGTTCTTCAACGGCGGAGAACCGATTCCAGGGGTGGATAACTGGGCCGTGTCCCCAGAAACGGTGGAAACGAAGACGCTGTTCCTCAACCTCTACAGGGTTGCTCTCCTGGGGAAGGTCCAAGCTACGTGGGGGGAAAAGGAATCCTCCCCAGTTCACAGATTTGTACCAGTGCTTCTTCAGAGCTTCAGGAGTCATGACACCATCAACTTCTTCCTCAGCTTCATCAACGGATCTGGGATGGACGATGACGGGTCCAACACCCCAGAAGTGGTTGGGCAGACGAAGACGCTGCTCCTCAATCTCCACGGGGTTGTTCTCCTGGGAGAGCTCCTCGGACCTAGGATGAACAATGACGGGACCATGGCCCCAGAAACGGTAGGGCAAACGCAAACGACGACGGTAGGCCTCTGGCTTAACGAAGTTTTCCTCCTCAGTGGTCTCCAAGTCACGGGGACGAATCTTGGGGCGCATGCCATGGGTTCCCAGGAAACCGCCCCAGTCGATGTACTTCCACCACTTCTTCCTGAGGGCCTCAGGAACCATGTCACCGACGATTTCTTCATCTTCAGCGATCTCCAAGTCACGGGGGTGTAACTTGGGGCGCATGCCATGGGTGCCCAGGAAACCGCCCCAGTCGATGTGAACCTTCTGGGCCTCAGGAGCCATGTCACCAACGATTTCTTCATCCCGGGGCTGGATCAGCGGGCTGGCAGCCACGAAACTGACGGCCACGAAGGCCAAAATAGCAAGGAGCGTCAAGGAACGCATTTCGAATAAAACTAATTTTCAATCACAGCCCCATACCCTTTTATATGAAATACGCATCGAGTTTGGTAGAATCTTTGATTTGTCCACGACTTGACCAAAAACTTAATCAAGCATGATTGGTTCAATTGGTTCAATGTATTATCGCGATATAATTCTTTTTAATACTGATAGGTGAGGTGCTTTTGTATTTATTTCTGAGTGGTTGCTTCCTATCATTGAGTCCATTGAGTATTTTGGCCCAAATCAGTTACTTCTTGATATGCAAAATAATCTGCTTTATGCATGCGGTGGTCATTCAAAAATAAAAACTTTCCATTTATAAATAAAACTCTTTGGAATAAATATATAAGAAAGATAACTATGGCTACGTCAGTCAATTAGGCTGGAAACAAGTCAAAGTCAAAATATTTTGTATTCTTTCTAGAAAACAAGTCTATTGTTATCTCCCAATAATGGCATTGCCAGAATTGTGGTTTTTTATTCAGAAAATATATAGAAACTTTGGCTTTAAGATATTTTTTTGTTTTTTGTACTAATGTGTCTTGCTATTTAAAAGTGGAAACAGTTGTTCAAACTGCTAATGAACGTCTATCAACAGGTACGTCAGGTAAACAAGTGGCTGTAAATTCCCATTACATCAATTATTAATTTTGGTTTTCTGGTTCGCTGTCATCTTCCTCTTGTTCGTCCTGGGAATCATCTTCCTGAGAACCGTCATCCTGGGATTCGGCTCCCTCGGAATCCTCATCTTCATCTTCTAAGTTATCGTCATCGGATTCCTCATCCTGTTCCTCGTTGTTTTGCTGTTCAGCGGCAATCCTTTTTTGGAGTTCCGCCTCCTCGGGATCGGTCAGGTCATCCAGATCGAGTGGCTGGGCAGAAACAGTCGCCAACAGGACACAGCCGAACAGGGCCAGCAATAAAACAGCGCGCATTTTCTAGTTTAGTCTCTAACTAATTCTAAAGTCCAAGCTAAAATACGTTTTTATAGACAGTCGTTGATTGGCAGAGAATAGAAGGTGGCGTGGCCCACGATTCTATGGCTCGGCTTATGTTTGCACGGCGACAGCTGTTGCCTTGGTTTGCACTTCAAAATTGAGGCAACGTCGTGCGTAAATATTTAGCTGACGAACTCAAAACCAGCCTAACTTAATAGTACAGTAAATAGATGTTAAATTTAAAATTGTAAAACTAAAATAAGGGACAAAAACAAGCCCCTACTAAAGCTACTTTTATGGTAATTTGTGAAAACAGCTCTGGCCAGAATTATTTGCATAAAGTTTTCCCTTCAAAACTTTACTTTAAGTTAGTCTGTTATATCTTTATCTTCGAAACTTTACTGTACCTCATGCTCAAAAACAAATTTAGCTATGATTCATATAATATTTATACTATATGCCGAGTTCCGATTCCTAGAATCTTCTTAATATTTGCGCATGTGTTCCATCTCAGGGTTTTTGGGGCATTCGTACACTAAATTCTATATCCCAAAAAATGTCAAAGACCATGAAACTTGACTAGATGTTTGATTATTGTAACCATGTCACGATCAACGCATTAAACCAAAAAACGTATAAAACTAGGGTTTACAATCTGAAAGTCATAGTCACAATTGCACTCAGCCAATTAAGATCTGAACATCATGCGCTCATTCATCCTAGCCGTTGTTGTCCTGGCCGGAGTCCTGGCCTGCACCAGTGCAGCCCCCCAGTTCCATCGTAAAGAACTGGCCTTATTGGAAACTCTTCTCGCCGAAGCTGGCAAAATTAACTCTACAATTCGTTTCGGCAACAACACCATCGTAGCTTCTGGAATTGCCAATGCCGTTGCCAACAGCAATGATGGAACCATCCGGCCAACTCCCCCCCAAAACCAGTGGGGAAACAATAACAACTACAACAACTTTAACAACTACAGGTATCCCTACTACTACGGAGGAGGATACTGGCGTACGGTGAACACTGTGAACGGTGAGATCGTCGAGGATCTGGATATGAGCCAGGAGGGATCTCACGAGGAGAGCCACGAACTGAGTGACCAGGAATCTGGCGAGGATAGCTGGAGCCAGGAGGATGAGACTGACGAGGATGATGATGAAGAAGATGAGGAGGACATTCATCAGGAGAATGAACAAGGAGACGAAAGCCAAGAAGACGAGACTGACGAGGGGCAGAACCTAGATGAGGAAGCCGCTGACATGGAATTGGATCTCCTGGAAAAAGAACTCAACGAACAGGACAACAACTAAAGGCAAAGTTTACAAATTACTTTAAAAATTCAATAGCAAAAAAATAGTTTAAAAAAATTGTTAGCTTGTTTAAAAAAATAAAACACAAATAAAAATATATATCAGGGATAAGAAACTAAGCTTACTTGCGTTGGGAAATACTATTTGGTTCTTCAAAATTTCAAAGCATCATTCAATTTCAAAATAAAAAGTATTTTTATTCTATATTTAAGGAAAAACAAAACAAAGCGTTTGGCATAAATGTCCAGGTACTGTTCAGCGGCGTCTTTGTCCCCGGAACTTTTAGTCTCTAGTAAAGTCTGCTGGACGCTGTTCCATAGGGTGTTTCCACCGTCTGAATTTAAGCAAAAATTTGATTATTTGATGATTATCCTTTTCATTTTAGCTGGAAAAGGCAGCTTAATTAATAAAACGCTCCTGCGAATGCAGCGACATGTCCGTCGACGAGCTGCAAAGGAAATACACCCAATGGAACAGCGTCCATCAGACTTTACTGGACCCCGAGGCCACCAAACGTTTTAGGCTCTTCCTGGAGACTAAAATATCCGGGGACAAAGACGCCGCTATACAGTACCTGGACCTTTATGAAAAGAGTTCCAAGTTCCTGCAGGAAACTCAACATACCTTTGCCCAGGACAAAGTAGATAAACTGGTCGACCTTGGGCTTCCCTATGATCTGGAGCAGGATTTAAAAAGGCGCGCGTTGAGTGGTCAGCGAAATGACATTAATCTCGGTCTCTATCGTGTCCTGGACAAATGTCGGAATGAGATTGAGGCCAGCAGCGAATTCCGAGATTTCAGAAACGCTTTAGTAGGTGTTAAGAAACGGAATCTACTCTGGCGAAGTTGCTAATATTCAAGGTGACAGATATTCATGTTGTTGAAAGGTTGAGCTACATGCATCTTCTTCTTAACATATGTAATATATATATACACATTATGTATACCAAGATGTATACTATAATAAATGCATTTCCAAGTGCCTTAGGAATGCTTGCTTTAGACCTATCTTTCATTATGGTGGTTATTAAGATACGTTTGTGATGAACCCATTGCGTTCAGATATTGGCACCGTACTTGCTGCTTGAGTTCGACGGCACAGGTGACGGGGTGCTTCGAATTGAGGGAGGATTGGAGGCGTCGTCCACCTGCATACGAGTGGAGGAGGTGCTGGCGCCTGATCCTGTTGTAGGTTCAGTGTTGGCTGATGAAGTGGGTGGTGTCGATGCAGGGCTGGGATAGATTTTCGAAATGAGAAGGTCAAAGTTGGGATCAGCGCGTATGGAGCGCTTGGAGACCAATTTCTTGTGGCATGTGGGACACTCCTTGTTGCCAGATCGCAGAGCAGTTACAATGCAGTCTTAGCAGAAACGGTGCAAGCATTCCTTAGTCGTCATCGTTTTTTTTCAACATGTACAGGCAGATGGGACACATCAGTTCGCTGTGGACACTCCTGGGGTAAACTTACAGGAGGAATCTGTAATATGTCCTTTAAGGACATTCGATACATCCTTTGAAAGGTACTGCCCCACAGATCATAAATATGTTAACCGTTTTTTAATAGTACACTTGGTTTAGAAGTTATTTGCATTCAATTTTTATTTTCAATTTGTATAATAAAAATTGAATCATAATTTTTATTTTTAATTTTTATTGTAAAAATGAAAAATAATTTTTATTAAAATAAAAAGAATAATAATTCTAATAAGAGTTATATTTCAATTTTAACAATAGAAATCGAAATAAAAGTTTATTGTGTTTTTTTTGAACTCATAAGCCTTATTTGCAGTCCCTGGCACAAACATTGGCAACAACCTGTGCGCAATTGTAAACAGTTGGCAGTCTTAAAGGCACATCCAGATGGCTAAAAGGAAAATGTGAAGCGTTGACAGCGAAGGGGCTGGCCGTCAGGTCAGGTGGCTGTCGAACAAAAGCGAATTGCATTATAATGCCGCGCGTGTTTGTAATTTTTAATGCCGACAATGAGATTAATGCCGGTCGGCGGTCGGAGATGGACACGGACATGGCTTAAACGGCATCCACATGCGCGCTTAATTCGATTGCGGGAGTGGGGAGTGGCGGGCCATTTGCCATTTGCCTATGCCGCCCTCAGCTCAATGCCAATCAATGTCACACCCATACCAAACACACACACACACACTTACACTGATTCGCAGGGACATTCACGCACGCATTCCCCTGACAGGCGTCCGTAAGGACTTAATCATAATTTGATTCAAGTTCGACTTGGCCTCGTGCCGCTGAAGGAAACCGTAGCATACATTTCAGCGTGCTAAAAATAAGTGCCCCCAGAACCGGCTCCCCTGAGGTAGCTTAGGAATTTAAGGCATACCACCCATAATTGGCATTCTTTTTCAATTATGTGGCATTAAATTTGGCTAATTAAAAAAATCATTCATTGTGGTAAACGGTCTACATTCTACCATAAGATGTTTTTACGAAGAAAGTGAATGCATTAATTTAGCTTGAAGTCTGTTTAATTAAAATGGAAACCTTTGAGTGAATAGCATTGTGGACATTCTGAATCGAGAGGAAACAAAGGGAAATAAGCTATAGGAAGCACACATTTCCTTTGCTGACTCAGTCAACCTAGGAGACAATTGTTCCATTTCTATATGGCTTGGTCAACAGTCCGTGCCATACAAAGGCATCACATGTTCACGTCCATTACACTTGAACTCGAAGAAGACCCCATCCACCCATCCAACCATTTATCAGCTCCCCCTTGTTGACCCAACTGGCATTCTTGCAGTCTATATGTTTCGGGTTCAAAGCAATTCGGTTTATGGCTGTGATTGCAATCGATTCCTTTGCCGGGTTAATGTTTGTCCATACCACAAACATTCAAACCACTGGCACTGTTCAGTTGCCGCTGACCTTGCCCCGGCTGATGCCAATTAAAGTAATTCTCTTTGGCGGATCCCGCATTTTTATTCAATTATCCACAAAATGGACAAAATGGAACGGGACACGATTTTTATTTAATTAAAAGAGAAATATTTACAAAAGCACTTCTATGGAAAAAATCTAGTTTAGTTAATTCAATATGAATAAAAAATGGTTGGAGGTTAAAACTCTAGGGAAATGTACATAATTCAAATAAAATTCCCAGAAACTAAACAAAATCCATCTAGTTTCTTTGAATTCTCTTCCAAACAATTGCAAACGGCACAAAAACAGAGCAATTGCTATAATTCTTGTTAATTTCAAAAGAATTCATGCACGGTAATTTGCATACAAAAAATTACGAAACTTTGTCTAGTCCCAGGGGAGTCGGCGATGTCAGATAACAAATTATTATTTGTTGATTTTGCGGCCAAATAGTTAACGACAGAAAAAATAGGAAAAATAAAAATAGAGAATGCGAGTTGCTGTGTGGGTTCAGTGTCTTGATAGCAAAGAGGTGATATTAGCAATTTATTCAAAAATATTACCAAACGATCTTGTTTGTATGATTTCCTAAGAATATTATCTACAAAAATCTTTAAACTTTATAAATTATATTTAGCTAAGCCCTTTAAATATCAAAAATATATATTTTCAGCTGCTTCTGCAAATGTTGGTTAACAAAAATAAACCCAAAGAAAACAAATCCCTTTAGGATAACTGACGAAATCCCTTCCATAACTCTTGGTTATCCTTTTCCGACAAAAAACACACACATTCCTTAACGGCGCTCATCTCCTGGGCAATCATTTCCTTCGACGTTGGACGCTAATTTCTGTTTGCTTATAGGCCACATTGCCCCGATCCCCCTGGAATGCCAATCTATATGTGTTTATATGTATATATTTATGTGTAGTCAAGTTATACAGCCTGTGGCTGCTCATGTGGAAACGGAAGTGTTTCCAATTGTTATGTCAATGATGATGATGGCTGAGCTCTCTCATCAAGTCAGTTGAGTGTCAAGCCGTCACCACAAGAATTTATTGAGGAGGAAAGACTATCAGGACTAGAAGGACTATTAGGACTTTGGCGGGAAAAGGAAAAATGGGTTAAATGTAAAATAATATTGGTTAAAGATAGAATATTACAAATAAGAAGATTATATGATTTTAAAAGAGAGAGATCCAAGATAGATATACAATATTTTCGTATAATTTTTCCTCAGTGCAGACATTTGCTGTCATGTACAAAGGATTATTAGAGCCCAGGCTCCCTCATATCTGATGTTTATTCATTACTCTCGGCTTATTAAGCCCGCCTTTGTGATTACGAATAAAGTAATAGCGCCCAGCCAGGTCAAATATTTTAGCCAAGTCCGACTGAACACAGAGCCATAGTAGACGTAATTCAACTTCTGACATTTACATATATATAATTGATGCAATTTGTCGAAACTGCAGAAGAAATTCCCCGCTCCATTCGCCGTGAACTTTTGCCAACATTAATTCATTTGCATAGCCCCAAAGCTTTCCCTAGGAAAGCGCGCTTCGGGAATAGCGTCGGCGGAGGGATGGGTAGTATTTTTTGGGGCGGAGTGGTAGTGGTCTGTTGGCGCCAGACCCTAAGCCCCGGCCAAAACCCTAAAAATAAACACAGAGCAAAAAGCACGTCACATCCCAGCCCAACTCCCACCCTCCCGGCAAGCATAGAATGTCCCACAATATGCTCTAGTTACATAGACAAAAACAAAGGGAACCTCACGATAAAGTATATATATATACCCATATATAAACAAACAAAAAGCAGGATAAAAATAACAATAAACCCTTTTTTATATATATGTATTTTTTTTGGCATCTCTGTTGTCCGTTTAATGAATCAACAAGTGCGAAAAGGGTTTTTTTTGAAATCCATCTCTCGTTCATCGAAAATTTGCATAATGTGTTTGCCAGCCCCCATCAAATTTCGATGAAAATTGCACCTGAACAGAAGCGATCCTTTGACAGGATCTACGCCGCCTTTCGCGAACAATGCTCCTTTGATTTTCACTTTTTTTTCCACTCTTCTTCTATCCTCGAATTAACATTTTGATTGGATATTTCAATATTGTGCCATATGGAAGGTTGTTTGCCGGCTGGTTTCGCCTCGGTTTGGGGCTGGTCAGAACTGGTTAATGCGTGGTTCTGGCCGCGGTAGTTGACTTGGTACCTTTAATGCCGGAATGAGCCCTCTGTTTGCACTCTACTCGATGCGTGAAATCCAGATAAGATAGCGGGCGGGAGGGCTACTCTGTCTGGTTCGGTTTCGGGTCGTAAATGAGCACTTTAACTTTGACGGAAATGGTCGAGATTTAAGCAAATCGATTCAATCAAAAACTGATTGAAAAAAAACATGATTTAATTAATTGATTATTGGGAACAGGCGAACTAAATTCGGGAGCTTTGAGGCAATGGTTTTATTGTCAAATGAATTTATTTAAAAAAAAAAAAAGAGCATATTTTGGGGCTTTTTTAAAAATTTTGGCCAAAAAGTGCTTTGTCTTTCGTCCCAAAATAATGATCCATTCTATTTTTGCTCAATATATACATATATTTATTAAAACTTTAATCTGACTTCTTAGATAACCTGGGTGGTTAGCAAGGGTTCAGCATCGGGAATGACTAAGGGAAGGACGACAGGATCAGCAACTGGGACAACATCGGGAATGGGGACAACATCGGGAATAACGGCAGCACTGAGAGTGGCATCCAAAGCAGGAACAACATCATTAGTGGTGGTGGTAGTGGTAGTAGTGCTAGATGTGGATCCAGTTGAAGAGCTTGATCCAGTAGCTCCAGTAGCTCCAGAGGCTCCAATAGATCCAGTAGCTCCAGTGGCTCCGGTAGCTCCCGTAGAAGCTGAGACGACAGGCTTCACCAAACGGCGTCTTGGATAGTAGGGAGCACCATAATCGTACCAGTTGTTGCCCCAATATCCAGGGTTAGAGTAACCAGAATTCCAGCCACCATACCAGCCATTGGTGGGAACTCCATAGTCGGGCCAGTAGCTTGGGCCAGAATAAATGTATGGCAGAATGCTACGCTTTCCGGCCGACACATTCGGAATCTCCTGGGTCTTCACAGTGTCCGACAGCTGGAGTGAAGGAAGAATGCCGGCATTCTTGACCAACAGACTGGGTGGCTCCACGGCCAGCTTCACCTGGGCATTCAAGCCAGACTTGCCACGTAGCGGCCACTGGGCGGTGGCACATGCCACAAAACTGACACAAACCAGAGCGACAAACAAACGCATTTCTTGCCAACGAGTATTTCCTTTCAACTGACCTTAAACTTTAAAAACTTTCTCATTTTATAGAAATTGTGGGTGCCATACACGTTTTTCAAAATAAATGCAAATATTTATTCAACAAAATTTCGTCTGCAATTAATTGGAGAATTTTTGTCAGTCTGTTTGTCGAGCGGGCCTTGAGAATCCGTGCAAATTATTTAACCACTTTTGCGTAGTTTAATATTTGATTAGTTGGACTTGTAGCGAACAGGGAATTGAAAACAGATTTCGCTTGAATAGTTGTCATTAGCGGTACGCTCAGTATTTTCGCTTATTTGAAGATCCCAAGTGTTCTATTGTTTCCACAATTCGGCAATTATTGAGACTTGCATGTCGGTTTCCATTCCGAGTTTCTATTTTGTAGAAAAAAGGGGGTCTCTCGGAAATTTTAGGATTTACTAGTCATTAGTTGGGTCTCTCGTTGGGGAAATGGTTGAAAAATACATTTGAATCACTGGCTAAGCGGTTTAAGAAATTTCCATATTTCCAACATTTCATGTAGAGTACCAATTAAGCTAATTGCAAGTGGAACACAATGCACTCCAGCAGCTGAATGTCAAGGAAACTGCGCATTCCAGGAATGAGACATCCAAGACTGCCTGTAACTGCCTGCGGAACAATGACACCCACAAACAGTAAACAGGACGAGAAAAATGTCAACGTTTTTGTGGTTGTTTGATTTTGAATTCTATAGAATAACACCAACTAAGTAAATATTATTCCTCAAGTTTTAAAAGCAATAAAATAATTGTTAAAGTCTAAGAATGTTTAAAAACATAAGGTGCCTATATATTAAATACTTTTAAAGTAAAATCTCATTGCCAGGCGTCAAGAAAATCACAGCACCCCCCACATCACGTATACGACATGTGTGCCTGTCCTTAAAACGGATTAAGCTCCAGATTAAACCAGGCAGCATAATTAAAAAACTTAAAGCGGCCAGGAGGAGGGTGGCAAGTGGGCTGGGAATAATAAAAATAATGAACTTGGGCGCTGGAAGAGAAGCGTGAAAGATGAAATTTAAGCCTCGGACATGTTAGTGACAAGCTGTCTCGCCATCGACTGGCTGTCTCTCCCGTTTCTCCTTCTTCTCTTTCTATTCTTTCTTCTTGATCCACTTTTGCTTCCATTTTCCTCCTCATCGATGGCCTCCTCCTGGTGACAGTGAAGCCAACCAAGCATGCAACCCCATTCTACCCAGGCATCAATAAAAGTTTTTTGCTTAGCTCCAAGTTTTGGCAACCGTGTTGGCCAGAAATTAACAACTTATAAAGTCGAAAATTGTCACAGCAACTTTAACCAATTTGTGGCTCTAGGACTCTTGGCTATCTGTTGAGCATTATTACCTGTTGGCCTTAGTAGCTGGAAAAGTTTTGAATGCATTTGTTTTAGCTTCTTGGAAAATATAAAATGGGACCATTTTCTATTATATGCTTGAAAGTAATGCCATTACCTACTACCTTTGTCATAAAAAGTGAGGCTATTTTTTGACTCATCTTTATAACCTTGCTGTTCGTAAATAAATAAATTAAATTACATGTAGATACATATTTTTAATGATAATTAATTTAAATATTTTTCAAAGCTCTTTTTATTTTTATCGATTAAAAACTCTTATCAACATTTCCTAATTACCACAATTAACCTAAAAATAATCCCTCAAGAGCTTTGTTGGTGCTACACTTCTAGCCGCCAGTTGAATAACCCATTTTGGCTATCTCTGGCCTGTTACCTGTTGGTCATATGAGTTCATACACTCTCCCACCATTTATTAACACATGCTTGACGTCATTAGATAGACAAAAAAAAAAGAAATAAATAAGCATAACAGCAATTAGCCTTACAGTTCTATGTAACGCCTACTAACGGGATGCGAATGAAAAAAAAACCGCAGAGGCGTAACGAATATGGGTAAAGATTGTACATTGAATACCCGTATATTGTACGTTGATAAGGGACCACTATCTTATCAAAAAAAAAATAAAAGATACCACCGCAGATACGGATATATAAAAAAAATCATACATGTTTGAGAAAGGAAAGCGAAGCGAAAGGCAAACTTTCACTCTCAGGAAATTCACACAAAAACCGCAAAACGAATAAAGAAATAAAGTTGTGGACCCGAATCAGAAATCTCTTCAACTACTTTGGCCTTTGACCTGGACATCGCAGCAGGCAGGCAGCAAGAATCACAGATTTAATAAGCCAAACCCCAAAGAAAAAAATATTCAACAGGCAGGCAGGCAGGCAGTCCTTGGCATGCCATAAAAAAATGCTTTCTTTGGCTGGTTTAGTGTTTAAATTGCTGGGATTAGAGGGCTCGAAGACGCTTTAAGTGCGAATTTCAAGGCTTTTGCTGTTGCCTGATGCGATTACTTATCAAATTGGATTTCTTCATCGCCGCCCCCTTCCTGCCAGCATTTTGCCTTCTCAATTCCCAACTTGTTAAGAGTGTTTCGAGGGCTTAAAGTGCCAGACGCATCTTCAAGACGAAACATTGTCAATTGTGGGAATGTTGTGATAAAAATATACAATGAATAATACAATGAAGCAAGATAAACAAAATTCTTTCCTTTTTTGGAGATTATTAAAGAGATGGCCAAGAAGTGGCAGAAAAGTATGCTACAATATTCTTTTTCCATAAAGGACTAGAGTTTTTCAAACTTACCTTTTAACTCTGTTGCTGTCTTCTTTGGAGAACTTTTTAAATATTTTTATATTGTTTACTTTTTACCCAAAATCAGGATAATTAATCATCTCCTTAAGCACAGCTCATTAATAATCCAAATAAACTTTGAAAAAACACTCTCCGCCAAATGCAAATTATGCTCAAAATTCAACACCAAATCACCGAGTTTCCTTTCTCAAATACTTGAGATATTTATGCGAAATAGAATCTATTTAAATTACAAACGACTGAATCTCATTTGGGAGTTCTTCGCACAGAAGGAGAAAATCAAGAAAACAGAAAACCGACTCGAATCGAAATCAAAATTTTTAGAGAACCGCTCGCAACCGCAGTGACGAAGTGACAGGACGTTGCAAGGAGCGCTCCGCTTGCCACAACGACAGGATAGCCAATGCTAGAAGATGCGCCATTCAACGCTACCATATGTTAGCAATTTGTGGCCCTTGCTGCAGGGAAAGCTCTATTCCGGCCGTAAAATGTTCGGCTCAGCTCGGCTCCGGCCACGACTCCGGCTGCGACAGCGAGTCCGGCTACGAAAGCTCGCTGACTCCTTATCAGTGGGCGGTGTGCTGCTGATAACGAGGTGGCCAGTAATTATCAAGGGTATCAACAAAAACAAAAAGGATATACAGCAGGATGTGTAATTGATTTTAAAAGCTTTTTTCCATTTTTGTTTATATTTTTTGGGTCAGTATTTCAATAAATTTATGGATCTATTACCAAAAAAATAATAATAAACTAAGAGGTATTACCAAATTCCAACCTTTTAGCTTTATTTATAGCCAAGTTAGTGGGTTAAGGGCGGTCGCTTTTGGACTGATTCCCTGCTGGACGTTGCAGCTTTCTGCCTTCATTCGTCGAAGAGCCGCCCCGAGGCAAGGTACTTTCCTTTCAACACGGCTTAGGTGTCCTTGCAGCACTTGACATTTGCCCGATCATCCCCTCGAACCTGTTGAGCTTACCCGGCATCGGGAAATTGAAACAGCTGCAATCCATTCTGCCCCTTGGCATATTGTTGAAAAAGCACTTGATGTTTGTGGTAGGTCCTTATGTTCGAGTCCTTATTGCTCTCTAATTTGTATTATTTTTAGGTCTGATAGTATCAAAATCAAGTATACGCAACGTGTTTATTTTTTCCTCATTAACTTTTATATTTATTTATACACATTTCGATTGATGAATTGAATTCTGAATTGTCCAGTGAGTCCTCACCTATAAGGCACATTCCATTTATGTATGTACAGAATAACACCAAGGATGATAAGGATAAATCAAAGAATAGCTTGTTCAAATCAATGTTTTGGTTTAATCAACTTATTAGGAAACTTATACAGTCAAACGCAAATCAATTAAGAAATAAAACTAATTGTAAGTGACTCTAGTCAGTCGAACCAATCAAAAATACTGGGATATGGATTAGGTTTATGCTTATGGCTACACTTGGGCGGTAAATACAAATAACACTTACAGACGATTACATGCCTAGAGTTTGGTGTGGATGCGTTTTCACTTAAAATAGGTATACAACAGCTTAAAACTAGATGGATGGGAGAAATGGTACAGGTAATTAACACTAAAATGGATCTCGCATGCTATAGAAAGTGTCTTCGATATGGCTCAACTTAAAATTAAGGCCTATCTTAGGAGCATCCTGTCAATGATGGCGCGCATGTGCTCTTTTGGGCTTTTGCATTGTTGGCCAATCCAACCTGGCCAATGATGGCAAACTGTTTTCATTACTATTGTTATTATTATTATTATTATTGTGGTTGCTGGTGGAGGTGAAGGTGGTGTGCAACGATGTTGTTGGCGCTTGGAGGGCAAAATCCGAAGGCATCACAATCGGTTGCAAGTTCCCATAATTAATCATTGTTGGCGATACGGGCGCATAATTAAGTCGACCCGTCAGGTTGCTGTTGTTGCTATTGTTGCTATTGGTGGGTAGATTCGAGTTGGGCACTGGCAGTGGAGAGGGGGGCGGTGCCACATTCACATTGAGTCCAGGACCGTTTCTACAACAAAATCTTTAATTAGTTTTCCATTCATCAAAGGCTGAATTCTAAGGTTAATGGGTGATTGGAAACCAATTTTAGGTGAGTTATAAGCTAAGACATGCAAACCGATTTGAATCTCTTATCTTTCAGATACATATAATTAATTAAAATAATAAAATTAAAGATTAAACCATCCACCATGAGATTTAATTCCACAAACCCCCACCAGTTTGCATGTCTTTCAGCAAAAGTTTAAAAACTAATCAAACTACTCTGGTGACTGGGCCAAGTTCTAGGC